GAATTCATATGCTTGATTTGTCGTGTCCTGAAGCCATATAGTTTCTATATTCCCTTGCTTGAGTTGTTCAGCCACATAGGCCTGAATTCTTTTATGCTTGCTTTTGCATCTATTTGATTCATCCGAGGTTTCTCCCCTGGCTTGATGTTAATTTCTTTTGGGTGCTCACCAGTGAAGGAAAGCCTGTTAACAATATAGATATAGATTTGTGCTCAAATTTTGAAATTTGTATCCTGATGATCATGTGATTCCATGACACAGGATGGGCAGCATCACATTATTCCCCAGAGACTCTACGTTTCTGATAACGGTCAGAGAAGCTTGTCAGCGTTATCCAGTATTAGTATACTTCCATTCTCTCGATTATTTCTCATAGGAACAGAAGATGGCTACCTGAGAATCTGTTGTTAAATATACTTCGTCGTTTGCCTCATCTTTGTTTGTACATCGTGATTCGTGATGAATTATGAATATGAATATGAATACTCATCCATGTTAAAGGAACCAAATCCATGGTGTACATAATTTAATGCTCATTTTACGTACATATTTATTTGTTTCAGGCTTTCAGCCAATAATGTCCCTGCAAATCGTTCAGCTATTCAATCTTTTTTTCCAGTTAAATTTAAAGAAAAATAACATGTCAAGTGATTCATTTAGGAGAAAAAATGTTTCGGCTATTTTTTAAAAGAAAAACATTACTTATTTCTTTTTAAATTACGTCCAAATTTTTTATTTAAGGTTAAAAATATAGTATAAAAATATCATTATTTTTAGGCACATTCTGCTTATATTTCCATACTCTCTTTTTTTCATCTCTATATTTATTTGAAAAGACTATAATACCTTTGTTAGTTTTATAGACTTAGTGATCTGGAAGTATATTTTAGAGTATTTCAGATTTTAAATATAAAAAAATATTGGATAATGAATTTGGAAATATAATTTTTTTAAGTTCTAGATTATGAAGTACCAAAATATTTCAGAGAACGTTTTCAAAATGTTTTCGAAAAGATTAATCTATAATTTTTATGAAAAACTGATTCTATGGAAGTTTATTTCAAAAAAATTTAGAAAAATCAATTTGAAATATTTTTTAAAAACTTATTTTGAAAAGTTTCGGGACGATGATATTATTTTTGGAAGAATATTTACTTAAAAGATATGGAAACAGCAAGAATGAACTTATTCTAGTATTAATCACATTTATTTTAAAAACTTAAAATCTTGGGCCATAAATCAAATGTTACTAATTGTTAAAAAGTGAGGAGGATTCCAACTTTTCAAGATAATTAGAAAAGTCATTTTCTTCTTACTGCACCTCCATATCATGTCTCAAGTAAAATAATTAAAATATTATTTTAAAACCTAATCATTTTTTCTATTTTTTGCAAGTTTTAAACCTCCATATATATACGGAATTAGTTTCTTTTATTATCACCTCTATTTAATATTATTTTTAATACTTAAAAAATAGTAATCACTAATATGGTGTATTTATTACATATTTCTATATTGAAATTATATATTGAAACCTAAATTATTTTATTTATAACAATTTTATGAAAATCAGATTAAGTTACAGGATATTCAATTTAAAATGTATTTATGGATTTGTTTTCCTAAAAATACATTTTGGAACATCATTCTAAAATATATTTTAAAAAATTTAATTTAAAATATAATTTAAATTAAGTGTTTTAAAATATATTTACAGAAAAGTTGATCAGAATTTTTTTTCATAAATATGATAGTATGCTCTAAAATTAATTTTCTAAAAATAAATTCTTTATTTATAGATTCGAAATACCCTTTTAAAATGTGAAAAAAAAAATTATATTTCCGACCTACTGAAAATCAACTTTATAATTCACTTTTCGAACCATGTTTTCAATTTTTTTTTTTCTAAACTATATTCCCAACTCCGAATCCCGGAATATGTTTCAGTCAAAAGTTTTGTCGCTCATAAAAAAATTGATACAAATTAAAAATATTTGAAAATTCTTATTTGGTATATAGGCTTTATGATTTTGGAAACTTATTCCCAGTCTCCAGAGCTGCATTCCCAATTCCCGAAACATGTGTCAGCTAAAAATTTTGTTGCTGTGGTAAAAGATTGATACAAATTAAAAATATTTGAAAATTCTTATATGTTTCTTATCATTTTTAGAATAATATGAGAAAGAATAATAAAAAAAATTTAGTAGATTTAAAAACCAGAAATAAATACTTACAAATTTAAACATAAATATAAAAATAAAATAAAATTTAATTTAATTAAATGACAGAAGAAAACTATAGAGACGAAGAAAGTGCCTATAAGTGCAAATAGTTATAAGATGCAAGATGATAGTTAGCTCATTTACCAGTTTTTTGTTTGATTTTTATTTCGGGAAAAAAGGATTTTTTTTTATGAGGATAACTTCAAATTGATTTCATTGTACTTTCACATTTTTAATGTTTTTTTATTACCAACCCCTTCTAAATTTCTTTCTTTTGTTTGATTTATTCACAATTTTAGTTTTTTAATCTTTTTACTTTAACCTAAATTCTAGGAAAAGATTAATAATAGGAAAAATAAAAAAAATTATGAAATGTGAAATTAAAATTAATAAAGTGTAACTGTATTATTTGTTGATTCCTATTCCTAATCATATCCTTGTATACATTTGTCCCATTGATGTTATGATAATTCAGAATTGTACTACGCAACTGTTAGTCAGTATTTTAAAAGCATTAATTGAGGATAATAAATTAAAAGTTTTTATTGAAAAATGCTGGAAAACACGTGCATTCTTGATTATGTGTGTCCAAATTTTTACAATATTATTTTAAAATAATAAAGCTTTAAAAAACTAAAAATAGAAATATACTCTTATAAAAATAGTTTTAAAAAGCATATTAAAAAATATATATTTATAAATTATTTATTTTTTATAATAATTACCATTATATTTAAAAATGATAAATAATATTTCTGATTATAATAAAATTGTTATTAGAGTGCATTAATATGTCTATTTTAAAATTTTAGACCATAACTTCATTAAAAAGATATATATATATATATATATATATAAATTATTTTTAATCTAAACTTTTTTTAAGAGATTCATAAATTCATAAGAATTAAAAGTTTAAATAATTATTTTTTTAATAACGAAGTTTTCTAATAATGTATTTTATAAATAAAATGATTAAATTTAATAAAAGATAAAATTATCTAATTAAAACATTACATAAAAAGTAGTTATATAATGATATAGATCTTATTAATAAACCTAAGCATGATTTTAAATTTTAACACTATTTTGAGTAAAGAAAGTCTTATTATTTGAGTGTTATGGATTTATTGAAAGATGAGCTGCATTTGGACGGTGACTTCGATTTTGATGCATCACTATTCAATTATTATAAAATCGAATCCTGTCATAGTTTTGCGCAAATGTCGGTTTACTATGTCTGCGCATTGTACTATTTTAAATCCTGTCTTATTATGAGTGTTCGTGTCTTTAATAACTCCTTCTAAATGAAATTAATTTTTACGATTCAAATAAAAATTAGAACTTATTTACTTATTTCAATTTGAGTTATACTTTTGAATGTGTGATGAAAATGGCTGAAACCAGTTTTCAAATGCGAAAGTTAAAACCTTTAATTTTTTTAATTTCATTTAAATGTAGAATCAAACCTGTTATTACATTATTACTGAACTTGTCTTTTTACATTAAATTTCATTATTTTAAGAGTTATGTATATTAATAATAAGACTTTTTAATTAAAATTATTTGATATTATAAACTCGTAATTGTGTTGATCTCCTTTCAAAAATGAAGTTATGAATACTCAAAATATCTTTATTTTATTTCTTATGTAAAACAATAAATATTAAATTTTTTCAAACAAATCATTAAAGTAGTGAAGAGATTTAGTGTAGTTGGTCGAGTTTGTTAGCCATCTTATTGTAAATATGCGTTCAATTTTATTAATAAAATAAAATAAAAATTAATCTCAAGTTTAAAATATGAAAATATTAAAAAAAAAAAAAACTAAAGAACGGTACCATCAATCAATAAAATAAATATGTCAGATGTATAACATAAAGTTCAATTTTATTTTGTTATAATTGTGGGAAGAAAATTTAAATTTAATCTCCTTAATCCTTCACTATCCGATTACATTCTCTTATAAAGTTGAAAGCATAAACAAGACACAAAATATAATAAATTTAATCGCAGAATGTGATTTAGCGAATTATTTTCGAGTGCTTGAAGTATAAGAATTTAAAACTTGCGAAAAATACCACATGGTCAAACTTGAACTAAGATCGAACCATTTTATGTTAAAAAGATGTAATCTTTAACAATAAATAAATAAATTAGTAAATTTGAAATTTAGTCTGTAAAAACTGTTGACGTGAAAAAAGTTCAACAATAGAATGTCATATATTTTCCTCTTTATAATTGCGTTTTTTAAATTAAACATCCTAAATTGCGTGAGAAACTTGCTGCAATTTATTACTGGACATACTACAAATAAAATATTTCTACGGAGAATTGAATAAATATACAAGGCTAGCCTTTGTTAAGACATTAAAGATCGGTTTCAGTGTATTACAGAAAGAAAATTAAAGTTTAATTGTAATTTTATATATTATTTTTTTCAAAAATGAATTTCCTGAAAAGAAAAACAAAAAAAAAATCAGAGAAAAAAAAAAGACAAAGCAAATGGCTAAACGCCAAGAATGGTAGTTGAAACTTGCAACAACGTGGATGTACGATGGGCATTGGCCGTAGAAAAATTCTAAAAATTTCTTAAAATTATCCAAATAGAGAAGGGGTATAATTGGTAAAACAGAAATGAGGTTGGATTGCAGGGAAGCTTATATTAAGCACATCGCATCGCCAATTGTTTAGCATCTTGTTCTTCAACTTCAGCAGCTGACTGCATTTCTTCTGTTCTTTTTTCACATCTTCACACCAACGAACGATCCATCAAAAATGTTGGCGGTTTTCGAGAAATCGGTGGCAAAGAGCCCAGAGGGTCTTGAGAGTCCTCAATCAAATTCCGTTTCAGCCTTAAAAGATGGGTTTCTGGCACAGCACTTCTCTTCCGTTCACCCTGGTTCTGTCACCGTTAATCTTGGCACTTCGGGTCTCATCGCCTATTCTCTTCACAAGCAGAATCCCCTCCTTCCAAGGTTCATCATTTTCTTTTCTTTTTTCGATATCTTATTTCTCTTTGATCTTGGATAAAAAAAAAAAAAAGACTCATTTTTCATGTTTTTTTTTGTTATTATAATGTTCAATTTACCTGACCTTTTTTTTTTTTTTCCTTTTCGTGTTATCGTCTTAGACATTTGAGTTGAATGGGGATTAAAGTTGAATTCTTTTTGGTACTTCAGTTTCCTTTTTGTGTTTCTTAATCTTGGAAGTACTTTTTCGGCTATGTGCTTGTAAATTCAATCTGTATATTATTTTATGTTTCTGAGTTTGAATCTCACACTTATTAGGATAGGGGTGTGTAGTTGAATCTTTTATATTGTTTGACATTTTATTGTTGAATTCGAGTATTGGTTAATGGAAAAGGTTGGTTTCTTCTGTTTTTTTTTTTTTTTTATGTATTTTTGGGGTTATTCTTGTTTGTTTTCCCGATCTAATGTTTACTGATTATTATTGTTCTGATCTCATTTTGACCGAACATTAGCTATGCTCTCCTTATTTTATTAACACGAACTTGATTCCGTGCTTGATTTTTTTCGGTTCTGGCATTATGTATCTTGGCTCTACTGAAGGCCATAAAGTTTGAATACAAGAAAAAAAATATATATTAACCTATGCTATACCATGTACAAAAATCCTTTAGATTCTCCTTGATGGTTATTTGGGTATATTGATATAATAACTTTTTTTTATTGTTCATTCATAGATCTTATAATATTCTCAGTTTCTCGCCCTTCCTTTTGCCCTCCCTTCCCAGTTCCCATCAGTAGAAATCATTCTAAGATAGTTTTGCTGCACCATTTATAATATTTATACCTTAGTCTTAACCGTTTTGTATTGCTCCCTGTTCTATTATTTTAGTAATTTTAATGAGATAAAAGTAAGTTCATACATCACAAGGTTACAGTTCTTCAGCTAAGAGAGCAATACTTAATCTTTCCTCTTTAATATGTTGAACTGAAATTCTCCTCTATTTTCTGTTTGATCAGTAAAATGAGAATTTTGAAAATCCTGAATTCTTATCATCTCATTTTATGAAAGAAATTGAATTCTCTGAAGCTGTTAAAGATTACCTTCTTCGTGAAATAAATTAATATGTTAATTTTCTTACGTTGCCAGGCTGTTTGCTGTTGTGGATGACATTTTCTGCTTGTTTCAAGGTCATCTTGAGAATGTTGCGAATCTTAAGCAACAATATGGATTGAATAAAACAGCTACTGAGGTGACCATTATCACAGAGGCATACAGGACTCTAAGAGATCGTGGTCCCTATCCTGCTGCTCAGGTTGTGAGAGATTTCCAGGGCAAATTTGCGTTTATTCTGTATGACAGTGGTGCTAAGACTGCATTTATTGCTGCGGTGAGTTATCCTCGATCCATCCCATCTCCTGTCATATTTGCCAATAGTTTTCTTCTCGAACCTGACACACATATCCCGGTTGTTTAAAGGATGCCGATGGGAGTGTTCCCTTTGTTTGGGGAACTGATGCCGATGGAAATCTTGTACTTTCAGATGAGAAAGAGATCGTTACTAAGAGCTGTGGGAAATCTTTTGCACCATTCCCCAAAGGTAATAATAATTTCTTTTGTAAAAAGGCAATTTGACTAAATAAAAAAAAAAACCATTGTTGAACATTTCCCGTGGGATCACTCTTTTATAAAATTTTTAACTATGTTAGAATTTAAAAGTGAGTTCATAGGAACATAAGAATGACAAGTTCAAAGACTTGAAAATAGGAAATGCAAATTCGCTGACAATACTTAAGTTGTGCTATAACTGATATTTTCTTTTCTTTCTCAACTACCTTGGCATTCAATGGTAACATATATAATCCCATGTTCAGGATTTTTCTTTACAACAGCTGGAGGTTTGAGCAGTTTTGAGCATCCACTTAATGAGGTGAAGCCTGTGCCGAGGGTTGATAGTTCTGGACATGTGTGTGGTGCCACTTTCAAGGTGGATGAGGAGGCTAAGAAGGAATCAACTGGCATGCCAAGGGTTGGGAGTGCTGCCAACTGGTCCAATAATATCTGATTACGACTCTGTTCTGTTTGAATTAAGGCTTCTATCATAGCTGCCCCTGGCAGAATTTTAAAGTTCTGGTTCTGTTCCCGTAATATGATAACTGAGGCTCTAGCGAGGCTTGGCTTGGCTATCATATTAATTTAGTTACTGAATCTGAGATATGATTCCATGTAGCAATACAATTTGCTTCGAAGCAATTATTAAGCTTATACTCTTGGCACATATTATTGTAATAATATCAACTTGCGGACACGTTCATCCTAGAGTTATGATTTACTGTTTCTTTTATCTCTATTTGTAGCAATATTTGTGCGAAACTTTAACTATTAATATATAATAATATAAAAAATAGGCCCCCTATGAAGTCAATTGCAGCGAGAGTTTTATTGTTTGTGAAACGTTGAAATTGGAAAATATCTTTGCTACTTGCAATATAACTAAGGGGACTATACTAAGTAACAGCATTTTTCATATAAGCTGTGAGCAAATATCTGGAAGATTAAAGTTAATAGAAATATTCGGCCTCTGCTGTCTCTTTTATGATTCAGCCCAGAACTCAGAAGCGACTCTTTTTAGTCCTTAGCGTCTGCAATGCCCCCTGGTGTTATCTGGAACACGTAACTCTGTCAAGAAAAAACACGCGTATAGTAGAGCCTCATTCTTATAAGCACTGCAATTGTTTTCAATGGCTATATAATGATGTTTTTGTCCCAATCTTTAAAATTAGCTAACGTGGCTTGGTTAATTTCATATTGTTTTAACAGCCGTAATTTCCCATCTGCTGATTTGGGATGGTTTTGATTTGGTTAATTTCGTAATTCCTAGACGAATCGATTACTTTTAAAGGAAGAAAAACTCATGTAAAGGATATTGCTTCAGCCTCTGGCAGGTTGGGGGCGTCAAATACTTTGCAAATGCGCTGATCCCCTTTCCCTTTCCTGAACATCAATCTTACTGTGGCTGCATGGGCTAGCACATGCCCTCCTGCTGGTTTCTTTGGATCAGTTACGAACACCCCACCTCCTGGATCAGCTATGACTGCAGCCAAAACACAAATTATCGTGTGGATAAATAGGCCCCTGTTCTTCTCATAAAAGGCCCAATTAAAACTCGTATGCTAATACTTGTCATAAATTACAGCTTCAGAACAACCAATTGGAACTTGGGAGTGAAAACTTAGCCCCATCCCCCCCAAAAGACACTCGTATATCAACAAATGTAGAATTTACCTTGATTTGTCATATAAACTGCAACATTGAATTCCTCAGCTATCTTTATTAATCGAGAAAGCATCTGTGCCAGTCTTTGCTGAAAACGGTTGTTCAAGTCAGCAAAAGTGGACTTAGGGAAAGGGGTGGGGCTGTTATTTTAAATGCATGTAAATGACAAACCTGGCGCTCTGCAAGCTCTCCTCTTCCGGAAAAATCTACTCGGAACAGGGCGATCACCGAATCCACAATCTGCCAAGAATCAATTTCGTTAACTGACCATATCCCATGGATGATTCGTGATATTGCAAAGTGCAAAGATAACTCTATTACTTGGTTAGTAAGACCTCACCAGAAGTCTGAATGGCTCCTCGGACATTTTAGCAGCCAAACCAAGGAGGAGATTGTACTGATGCTCGTAAGTGTAGGCACGAGCATATATAATCTTGTGGAATCACAAACACAATGTTTAGGTGTCAACAGCAAACTATTTCCCTTCCTATCCTGTTTATGATTATGAAATGGAGTAAACTTACATTGTCCAGTACAGCCCCAGGATCCATGCCAAATCTCTCAGCTATGGGAACAATTCGGTCAGGTCGGCTTCAGTTATTTGTGGAACATTGATGAAATTTGGACGATATCAATTGATAAAACAATAACAAGTTATCGATTGAGAGATCACTATTTAAGTTATTGAGTAATTATTTAAATAAGAAGAAAGAAAAACATACAAAGTTCCTTCAGTGTCAATGTAAGCAACTTTTCCGCTGCCTCCCCTCATATTAGTTGGCAGCTGGAGGAGTGAGGAAGATCAGTAGTATACTCCAAATAGGCAAATATTTCAATGTGAGTGAAAATACGACTATCACGTACGCATACCAAATTCGTGTTTAAGAAGCTGCGATATTTGTTCTATTCATACAATAGATAGAATAATGTGCTTCACAAAAATGGAAAAAAAAAAAGAGTTGCAATCCTAATGCCATGTTACAAGAAAACACGACAGAACAGTTTCAAGTACAAAAACTCATTTATAGTACCGAACATGTCATGACCAAAGATGCAGCATAGAATAAAAACCTGAGTGGAAACACAGAGAGTGTGAGCAAGCTGTGTTTTCCCAGATCTGAAACATTAAACAATGCCCTTAGAATGAACATCTGACACTGAAATAAAATAAATATATCAGAAACCAGATATAAGTTGTGTTCTGACCGGAATTCTCCAAACGCTTCTGTAATTGCCAATGTCTCGATCCCACCTTTTCAGAAAGAAAAATTCGGGGAGAAAATATTTACGAGCATTAGAGAGTCAAATTTTACAAGACAAAACAAAATTCATTGTGTAAGGCTACCTCCTAGCAATTCATCAAGCGCTTGGCTTCCAGTAGTGATTCGGATCACTGACTTCCTCTGTGGTAACAAAGGACGAACAAATGCACACTCAAAGTAAAACTAATTACGATGACTTAAGCTAACGAAAACTACCGTCATTCCTAAAACATTACAGACATGCAGCTCAAATGGAATCTATAATTCATAAACTTCCAAAAACTATAAACAACGTACTTTGAGCAGTGCGTCACTTCCGGTAATATATCCAAAATTCTGCATCGCAGGAAGGTCAAATTACGAAGAGCTAAAATAGGACTATAGACTAACTTATATGCTACTATATCTTACCACAATCTTCTCAGCAGCCTCGCAGATCTTATCGACCTTGGCCTCGGATAGACCTTTGATTCCAGTCAAATTCTACGAAAATATAACAGTTCTGTTAAATATAAAAATGGAGATACAGAGTAGCTCCACGTCTTCGATATTTAAATCAGATATGTGGTTCAGGTTAAACCTTCTTTGTGTGCATCATCAAGCCATTGCAGGTATATATCCCTGCGTCTTGAAGTTTCTTCACATCTCCGGCATTGATGCCCTGAGCAATCACTGCGTAGAAGCGTATGGATGTGAATCGAAGACAAAATGATTTTTCGAATAGTCACACTAGAACGGAATTCAGCTTTTCAAACTAGATCGTTGTTCAGTGATAAAAATGAATCTATCACTCTAAGCAAAAAGCGGAAAAAATTGAAAAAAAAAATAACTAACAGTTAGAGTGAAGAGGGAAGAGAAGTTAAATATAGAGATTGATTGTTAGTGAGTTGATATAGAAAAAGGAAGAATGACGAAACGAACGAGAAAACAGAATTGAGAGAAAGAATATACGTTTATCGATGGCTTCGAAGAGGTCTTCATCGTCGTCGATGTCTTCTCGTTCGACGAGCTGTAACTGGCCGCTAGATTCTTCGGATCTGAAAAACGTTATCGCCGATCAAATTGTGAGATAGAATTCAAATTCTGAAATGAGAAGAAATGGCAATAGATCCTGTGAGCTACTTGAGCGTCGCAAGCATCGTGACTCTAGAGAGGAAATTCGAATGTGCCTGAAGAACAGTGAGAGAGCTTTTGAATTATGAATGAGGTCTGAAGAAGTGAGGGGATCAATATAAATATATATATATATATATAGGGCGGGAAACGAGAAGGACATGCTCTTCGAAGCTGAGAAGGGAGAGCAAAAGCAAACGGTTATCGTTCCCGCTTTTCAATTTCTCTCTCCTATTTGCCATTTCATTCGCTTTATTTTTTATTCGTGTATTTTTATGTTTAAATAAATTTATTACAAAAAAGATCAAATTAAAATTATAACAAAAATAAGGAATATAAAATAAAAATTGAAGACTTAATAAAAAAAATAAAAAAAGTTAAATGACCAATTTATAAAGTTATTTGTCATGTGAAAATCAGCAATAATTTACGTTTTCAATATGAAAGTTTGACATATATAAATTAATCCAAGAAGTTGGACAAAGAAATGAGAGCAAAGTAATAATTAATCAATTAGTCATTAACAATAATTCTAAAATCATGAATAGTATCCGCACTAGTAATTCTTATTTGGTTCTACAACACCCAAAACGTGTCTAATAAGATATTTCAAAATATGTTCTTTGTTTGCTTTTAAACAAATTAAAATTACTCCTAAACACATTTCAATGAAAAAAATTACACTGTTCAAAAAAATTATTTTAATTTATGCTAAATACTCATAAAAAAAATTAAGGTGTATATTTTGATGATCAATCTATATTTGATGTTAGTTCCGTCAAAGATACGGTATATTTTAATCCCTTGTATATAGCAATTGTTATTACGCGTTCACTGGTGGAAGATACATGAAATTTAATTTGCTGTATCATCCCATATTGAAATGCAGAGAGCTGGACTTGCACGCATGCAAGAGAATTGCCATTCAAAATTTTCAATCCCAGTGCGTATGTATTGCTAAACACTGAGATATCCTTCTATTGCAATCAATCTACTCCACGAACTTGACATCAACATGCAAGATATGCCAATGCTTTAAAACTATAGGAAATAAAAAACGTCAGCTCCAACCAACCTTCATAACACTTCATCAGAATGTAGCACAGTTGAATGTAAGTCAAGTTTGGTACAGAGGAGAAAAATTATATATTAATACCAATAGTATTGAAGATTTTGAAGGAGACATGACCTATGGTCCCAGAGCTCCGCCGCTGCTACCAAACGCACCAAAGGCATGAATTGGCTTGAGAGCAGACAAACTAGCATTTTATTGTCCCAATTATATTTTAGCTGTCCATTGTAACTTTTTCTAAATTTTAGTTTACTTTATGTTTTATCCAGTTTTGTAAGATACCACAAATAATAGAAAATTGAAAGTCTCTAAACCTAATTCTACATTAGATTTTACAAAATTCCAATATCTTTATTTTTATGAAGCGCTGGGTTTGAGAGAATTTCACACATAAGGTCTGACCCAATTTCCAGTGACTGAAATATATAATTCTGAAACAAGAACGACGAGAATTGATTTGCATAAACAATTGAAGTATTATATCACACAAGGTACACACAGTCTGTTCAGATATCTATGTAACACTCTTCTTTCAGTGAGGGGAGAAAAAGACAAGATCCTTAAGCTTGAACAAATTTTCTGATGGATCTTATTTACCTAGGTGTTTACATCCTCCACCTGATCTAGATGTTGCCTCCTTTGGTTTCTGATTCCTAAATCATCATAGCTTGCTTCAGTTTTCCATGCAGGTGGTGTTAAACAATCAGAAACTCCCGGTACTCTTTGGGAAGGATCTCCGGCTGGTGTCCTAGGTAGAGGGGAATCAAAATGGCCCACCCTCAGTTTTTGAAGTGTAGCAAACGACTCTCTTGTGGCAGACATGGCTTCAAAGAACCGAGTGCAAGATGCCAAAGCTACAGGAATGGGTCGAAGCATTTCCTGGAAAAAAGGTAAAAAAAAATAATTTCGTTTAAAATGTAAGTAGCAGACACAATAAAGAATGTACTCGATGTAATGTCTGTTCACTTGTTTGCTTTTGAAAATAATGCGATAAAATAAATAACCTTCAGAACATGTAACAGACATTAAAATTGGATTCTTATGCTAAAAATATGTCAATGAATCATGGTAACTTTTTAAACTCCGTCTAAAGCAATTTTAGTGTGTCAAAGTGGACTTAAATAGACTTGTAATTACTCGCTGAACATATTTTTGATGCTTTCAAGCAACAGTTATATTAGCGCAGGCAACGGAAGATAGAAGGATAAGACCAGGTCTATGGATACAAATTGGTTTAAGAGTTAAAGACAAAATAGAAACAGAAAATTCAAACATCTAATCGAGATTAGCTTAAAAGGAATGTAGGAGCATACCCCCCAAACTGAAGGAGGTTCCTTGAAATTCTGACTCCACTGAAAATCTGCCACTGAAGCTGTCAAAGCACCATAATCACTAGCTGCCTTCATCAGTAGTTCAGAGAATTGTTTCTGCACAAATTAGAGAAATATATGACACAAAAATTATATCATTGATTAAAATTTACAATAATAGTTTAACATTTACACCAATTTTCAACTAACGTTAGTGTGAGAATATATGGTAATATTAGAACTAATTTGTTCTTGCCCCCAAAATTTAATTACAATTGGGTAACTAGGTGAAAGTATAGGAAGAAAATATTGTACAGTTTTTTAATCTCAAAATATGGCGAGTTTTAGTTTTAATCCATATAGTTTTTTTTTTACTTAAAAATTTTAAAAGTCTTGAAAATGATCCCTATGATTTTATTTATAACGTGGCATAAATATACAGTTGTCACATCACGGCAATCTCAAAGTTGTTGCTAGTGCGGCATGTCTAGATTATAGAAGCATATCAAGGACATTAAATGATAATATTTCTTTTTCTTTTTAAATAAATTTACAGGTTTTTGTTTTTTGAAAAAGATAACTTTATGAGGACCACCAAAAACCAACGAAAAGAATTTAGAAGAAATAAAACCAAAACTTGTCATATTTGTAAGGAATAAAAAACCAAACATCAATTATATCAATTGATTTTCCCTCCATGTTAGTACCATTGGACCGTAATGGTTCCAAATTAGCAGACGTTAGATAAAAATTTAAGTATAATCCTTTAACTTTAGTTCTAATTTTACAATATAACTTGCACAAAAACAGTTCACTTCAGCGGTGCAAACATTGACACTAATCGAACGAACTCATGTAAGCACAGATATAAAAAGTTAAGCCTGTGTACATCATACTACATAGGTAATATAATATTACAGCGACACTTGATTGACCTAGAAAAGAGGTGCACTATATTCCAAATTTCCAATTACAATGGATGAGGAAGCAAATTAGTCGCTACATGTGTAATTGACAATGGATACCAGGGTCTTTGATCTAATACCTAACAGATTCAAATGAAATCATTATGTCACGTTTTAACTACAATGATGCATTTTATAGATAACAACCTTTCTTCAAGAAAAGTAGTGAAATTATCAATTATAAGAAAATGTATACCAATGAGCAATGCCACTAACACAACGGTAAAATAAATAAATAAATAAAAATATAAATACAAACACACACAAGTGCCTATGCATGCCACTGGATTGCCAATCATTGATCAAATTAACTGTGAACAGATTTCTAATGTATTTAGTTTAATATTAATTTAAGCCAACCTGATATTCTGCTTCAACAGGAATGCAATCAAGGGAATACGGCTGCTGCAAGCGAGCTATAATCCGATCCTGTGTCAAATTTTACAATGATATGTTAGAAAGCATGAAATAGGTTGTCTAATTATATCTGGATAATTTAAGCCCCAACTCTAACTGTTAAGCGGGGAAAACGAACAAGAGGATATGAAAGCATAAAGTGAGACTTGTCAAGAAATTCTCTTATTATGATCTAAATATTACTAATTATGCCTCTCTGAGGCAATTGATGGAATTTAGTCACTGGTGCCCTTGCTCCTCTCAATTTATAAATGTGAAAAATAACAAACTAAAGTCAGAAAATATGATTTCTGATATACTAAAGCAGTGCTAGCTCAATGGACAAACTTTACATTACCTTGTTCTGAATAACATCTTTGAGTATGGTAGTAATCCTGGCCAATGTCTCGATCTTCTTTTCCATTTCACTCACATGAGTCAAATGTGCAACATTTTTGTCATCCTAAAAATTTTACAATTCTCAAGACAAGTTCACATAAAACAACAAAACAAGGCATTGGTTTCACCATGTCAGAAAAATAATTCTTAAACAACCAAAATGCTAAGGCTAACCTTTCGTCCTTGAAGTTCCACTTGCAAATCTGCAATTTTTCTTTGGACAGTAGTTAGTTCTCTCAAAACCCTGATCAAGTCCTCACCCTTTTCCCCGGTTGTGGGGGATGAATTCTGAAGTCCTTCCTGGAAATAAGGACAATAATGTGCCACAATTAGCCAAACAAATAGTGAGAGTTTTAGGAAAAATTAGAAAGTGGTGTGCTAGCAACACACTCTTCTACTGGTTAAAATTTATTGAAAACTACAAAATCATCAGTAGGAAGGTTCATTAGATTAGTGAGACCCGTAGAATTTTATGATTTGTAATTGTGTTTTGCTAACATTTTGCAAGTACCTGTGATGGGGGAGGGGACATGGAGAAACCAAGATCGGCTGCAATTGATAGAGCATCTGACATTCCCCCAATGCGTTTCACTGGCTTCCTCCCCACCCAACTTGATTCACTTGCCATTGACATTTTCAAATTCTAACACAAACAGCACAGTTTTTAGTTAAAATTCCATCTTAAGAAAAAAAAAAGTAAAATTAAACAGGCATTGAAAATTATTTTATGAGCTATAGTATAAGCATCTCACAGTGGTTTTTATACAAATAAATATATATTGCATGGTGGGCATAGACACAGTATGCAATGTGGTACCTAAACCTAGCTTCAATTTGATGAAATTCTAACTAACATGTAAAGGTCCACTCAGTTGGGATCAATTTTGGGAAAATCATCAATTCTTTTAACAGCTCTTACAGGAAAGGAACTATGAAATGACAAGCAATGTTAACTATATTTTCATGTTCAAACAGATACTTGGTGATTTTTTTCCTGCAAATTGACTGACTAACAAATTGTGAACAAGGTTAATTGTCAATTTGATGTGGGAAGCAGCCTTGGGACAACAGTTAGAGATGCTGCTATGTGATTAGGAGGTCAAGTTCAAGTCATGGAATCAACCTCTTACAAAATGCAAGGTAAGGCTGCCTACAATAGTTCCAGAATGGGATTGACCCTTCCCTAGACCCTGCCATGGCAAGCATTTTATAGCACTAGGTAGCCTCTTTTTTGTTAATTCAGTATGTCAACTACAAAGGCACTGTCTACAAACTAATGGTTTATCCCGCAAAGGTCTTGCAAACTGCAATCCCATCAGGAAAGTTTTTTTCCTGTCAACTGCTGAACCAATTCCTCTTTGGTCTCTGCTAAGGATAGAGGTTTGTTGCATGATGAATGTTTAATTAATGTAAATGTGGTGTGGTCATCAAGACTCAGTTGGGAAATTTCTTCACTGGTTCTATTGTTGAGTCATTAGTTGACCATATATGTACGGGTACCATGCTCCATAATTCATGACAAGTACCAAACTATCTACAAGCAAGTGTTCTTATCTTCAAAAATGCGGAGCTTATTTGCTAATGGAACGGTACAAATCACCTAAATTACATTAAAAAAAAAAAATCGCTACAGCCCAAATTCCTTGAGTGAACAATAAGTACAACACAATAAATCAAATATTACTACTAAAGATTTGGAAAACATAATATAAGCAAGAAGTTTAGATAGTCAACAAGTTAAATAGATGTACATAGCAAAATGAGTGAGTCACTCAGCCTAATAATAAGGTGCTATTTACCTGTAAACCTCACCAGATCACCCTTAGGGCAACTCCAGCCACGAGCGCAGAAAGCTGAGAGTGAAGATACAAAAAATTCCGGGGTGCGAGACCGGCCCGATTTCTCTTCCAAGCTCTGCCACAAAATCAGGAGAAGGTTTAGATGAGGGAATGGGAGAAGGATTCGAGTGAGGGAAAGGGGGAAAGTTCTATTGATAACTTCTTATCCCATTCATTCACTGATTCACCCATCCGCAGCCCTCATAGCAAAAACACTCCAATTTCAGTGTCCATCCTCTTACATCTTAGATAATAAAATTCAAATATTAAGAACAAAAGGTTAATCCATCACAAGATTTACAACGACGGGAAACTGAGGATTAAGAGAAGAGTACCTGCGCAGGGGAGGAGAGAATAAAGCGTCTACTTCAGAATGCAAACTGAATTCCGAGCACACGATGGTTCTGATGCACTCCGGTGAGATTCCGGCGACTGAGGGCGCGTGCGTCTGTCTCGATTTGAACTGTTGTTGGACGAGGTTCCAACGATTTCAAGTGATAATTGCGTGTGTCTTTCCGATCTGACTTAGAACTCACGATGGCTTCCAACGGAGAACAAATGAGAAGAGAAGTAATTCACCTTCACATTTTCCTCACTTTAACGGCAATACGAAGAAGACATTTGAATAAGGTTTTTTTTTTTAAACAATTAAATTTTTTATTAAATTGTATTTTTTATTTTTAAATTTATTTTTAAATTTTAACTTCAAAATATATATTTTAAAAAACTCTACTTCAAAACATGCAATTAAACTTTAAACATAAATTTAACATATTTTAAAAGTAATTTAATTAACTAAATTATAAAAAATTAACACACGTGTATTTGAATATTACATTATAAATTTAAAAATTATAAATGAAAGTAGCTAAAATTAGTAAAAAAAATTACAATTTGATATTGTTAATATTAAAAATAATATTGAAAGAGTAAAAATTAAAATAATATATACCTTATGTTTTATAATAATAATTATAATTATAATTATTATTAAATAAAAGATTTTTTTAAATCCCTTCAAAATCAAGTTATATTACCATAGAAATGAATATAGAACAAAAACTCTCCCTTTTATTTTTGAAAATATAAATTATATATAATTAATTAATATAAAAACTGAAAGTAAATTATTAATAACATTACCTTACAGTTAATTATCAAGTTGATATTTTTTATGTTTATTAATTTATTTATATTATTTAATTTAATGTATATTTAAAAGTATTATTTTAAACTTTTTTATAATAATAATTATAATAATAATAAGATAGGATTTCTTATTCAATTGTATTTTAAAAATTAATCTTAATGTCAACAAAAGACTTGATCTATAATTTAAAAAAAAAAAATTGATTTTATGTGGTGAACATTATTTGAGCCAGGAGTAATGTTAAGAACTCAACTATGTTTAGATGAAAAAAAATAGAGAAAAATTCGTTTATATAAATAATTTCAATGAAAAAAATATTAGATAAAAAATAAAAAATAAAAATTTATAAAAAAATTTGATTAAAAAAATTTATATTAAAAATATAATTATTTAAATTTTTTATAATTTATAACTTTTATTTTTATTTTATAAAATTAACTTTATTATAATATTATATATATATATATATATAGATAATTTAATTATTTAACTCGAGTATTAAATTCAAAAAATTAAATATATAATAGAATCATCATAAAACTAAAACAAAATATAAATTCACGTTATTTTTGTTCTCAAATTTATTCCAATTGGATCTATTACCTACAATATATATTTTGTATAAATATATGATCAACTGATCAATACAATATACAAAACATATAAAATAAGTTAGTAATTTAATTATTAGATAAAACAATATAATTTAACTCATATATTATATAACATTTATACAAGTTCACGTTCACGTCACATAGACATTAAACAACTCCCAGAAATTTAGATATTGAATTAGACAATATAGATTTACATTTGTCACACCACAATTCTTCAAGTTTATAATACAAGGGTGTTTAGTTTTGTATATGCATTATGTGTAACTAGGGTAAATTTCTAAATAACTTATTAAGACACAGCTTTTTCTGCACACACTAAATCATTAGAAACACTAGTGCAAAATAAGTTTTTTACGTATGTTATTTTAACCTTTTTATGTCAAACATAATCCTGACATTAATATATGAGACATAAATCATAATAACCGACATCAATTTATGTTTGTTATGTCGAGAATCAACGTCAATTTACACCGGACAAAACATGCAATAAACGTAAAAGGATTTTGAAAATAAAAAAAAAATGAGACAAAATTTACGTCAAACCATGCCATAACATATGTAAATCCACGTCGGGTAAGGTCAAGTCCGACCTAAATTTATGTTTGTTATAGTCTGGTCCTCTTTTTTAATATTAGTTTATTTTATCTTACCACCAAAACATGCAAACATATTTTAATGATAGACAGGCAAAATATTCATGCAAACATATTTTAATGATAGACAAACCAAATATTCAAGTTTCCTGAGATAGTCATTCAAAAATACAACAATATAATATAATACACTTTAAAAAATTAAACTAGTATAAAGACTAAACTAATACAAAGACTAAACTAATTAAAATATTAAACTAGTACCAAAATTAAGTTCCCTAAATCCTAAAATACATAATATAATATAATACAAACAATAACCTACAAACTAAGTACTAGAATTGTTAAATAAAAAAAGTTGTCCATTGTTCTATAATTTGTGTAATGTCATGTTCTAGTAGTGAAAATGAATATTGAAATACTTAAAACATTAATTTGACTCTTGTTAACATGTAATAGGCATAAAAGTAAATCAACTTAACAAATGTTAAAATCATTTACCTCCATCCAAAAATCAGTTATACCCGCACAAACTATGACTCACATCTAATACATGATATAATAGTTACATTCAAAGAAATTTGTTTACTTATTACACTCGAAATGAAAAATAAAATATAATGTTATTTTCAAAATTCAAATACAAACAATTATGATGTTGTTTATTTATATATATAAGTTTCTAACCTTAGGAAAAATGAAATGCAAATTTTTTGTTTTGGGTCCTCTATTAAGAACATTAATTTTCATATACGATTCTAATAGAAATAAAGTCGGATGTTATTCAATATATATTTATACTTTAAAAACATAAATAATGAAAAAAAGATAAGTTATCCTTGCACCAGGCTTTTCATTTCTTTACTTGGTTTTTTGTGTAATGAACGAAATCACACCATAATGTAATTTCTAGGCATGATTATAATTAACTACTAATGAAACCTACATTATATGACATAAAAATTAGTTATAAAATTAATATGATGACAAAAATACAAATTAAAATACTAATCCTTCAATGTATAGAGTCAAGTATATATGTTTTTGTGAGTCACTCATCCATGTTTGCATATATTGTTGAATTTGACATTTGTATTTTCATATTTTTGAATGGATTGAGGCTTAATAAATCCATATATTTCAGATTTTTCTTACTCTATACTCAATTTGTCAATGTACCTAATACAATAAATTACAAGTTAAATATAATTATAACTTTAGAAACATAAATGAAAATGACTTTCATTACCGCAACTCCTTTTTCGTACTCTTTCCTAATATGACGTGCATTAATCCAACTTCGATCCATACCTACCTATGTTATAAATTTTTGTCACTCCTAGAGATTCAAACACAAATTCATATTTATATATAAAAAAATATACAAACAACAAAAAACGTAGGATTCAAACAACTAAATCGTGAAAACATAAAAATGCAGTATATAAACCGTAAATTTACTCAAACGCATAAATAGATAATCACAAACTACAATAGCTCAATTTCATAGAACATAAAAGATTAGACATAGAACAGTAACCTTAAATATACAAAAAATGCTCTAAAACTCACATTCAATTAGAGAGAAACATCAACCACCATAAATGAGACACAATATAGGTGTTTTCGTCACTTATTGTGGTCGTAATGTACCTTGGGAGGAACTGGTTTGATTGATGTCACCATCATCATTTGAAAACTCTCCTGGGCAGGAGGATGAAGTAGCCATGGAGTGATTAAAATGCGAATTTTACGTCGGACCTCATAAGGATCGATGTCAAAGCTATTTTTTACATTGAGTGTCTCTCTAATTGACATAAAAAGTGGTTTTTACATTTCGACGTAAAAGTAAAATCCTTTATTTACAAAAATATCATCGTGTTTTTTAAAATTGATTATTTTTTTGTTTGATGAGAGTTGGGTAACGTAAAAGCTTATACTGCTCTAGTGAAACCTCCTTCAACTCTCATCCCTTAATCTTTTTCAACTTATATGATTCTAGTAAAGTCATGATATCTTCTCGAATCACAAATCAATATATATACATACAATACTACACAACATTTTTAAAAGTACGTAATAGCATTTATATATCTCATTTCATGTTCATAACATTATTTTAATAGCTTAAGACATATACATATCATTTCTCACATTATAACAAAATATAACTTTTTTTAATTTGACCTCTGGCCACTCTTTTGACCATACCTTTTTTTGTAGACATCTTTTGTAACTAATTTTTATTGTATTGGATTCCTTATTTTTAGGACTTTGATTTGCATATATGGAACGTTTAATTTGAAGTTTGGAGTTACATTTTTATGATTTTTCAAAAATAATTGAGCAAATTTTAAATTCGTTGAGCAAAATTTTGACAAAAAGAAACATTCAACACTGCCCAAAATCCGTTAGGTAAATTTTAAAGTGCTTAGCAAAATTTTGACATAATGGAACCTCTGATAGTGTCCAAAATTCGTTGGGCGAATCTGAAAGTGTTGATTGAAATTTAAGCGTTTTCAACACTACCTTAAATTCGTTAATCAAATTTAGATTTGTTGAGCGGATTCATAATAGTAGCAGACTGCATAAACTGCTCAATACATTGTTTTTAATGTTCTAAATTAAATTTAAGCACTACTCTTAAAATTGTAAATCAATTTACTAAATTTAATCTACAAACAATACATTCATAGAAAAATTATCATTTTCAATCTCATAAAAATCAATTATACATTCACATTCAATACAATAATCATAAATCAGGACATACATAATCACACAATCAAATTTCCTAAAACTTAATCAATGTGACCAAATCACCTTCAC